TGCTTGAAGACGTTTCACCTCTCATCCGAGAAGCTTCTTCAGTTCTAAGGTCAAATGGTGGAGAGTCCCAGATTTAAACCTAGTGGGAGTAACCCCCCACAGGTACTGGTACTTCCCCACATCACATCAACAGACTGTTCACATCTGGGATTTCTCCCATACCTCTCCACAAAATCCAACACATTTGTGCTGTACTCCTGCTCCTGCTTATCTCTGATAGTTCCAAGTCCGAGGCATCCAAGGCGAACGGGAATGGAGACATCACCAAATGGCCGAATCGCACTTAAGAAATCAAAAAAGCCTAGCAGCTGTTACTGTCTAGATGGAAGTATAACCTCTCTGCAGCATGTAGATAAATGCATCAGCCACTCCCAGATTTGGTTTGTCATACAAACTGACTATTGTGGCCAGATGTGCTGTGTCTGTTGTTTTAAGTGTTTTAGGGCTGAAAGGAGTGTAGTTCATTTGTCCAGAAGTTCTGACTATGCAAATCTGACGGGAAACTGTAGCCAGGCACACCCACACTAACTGGAAGTTACAGTTAAGACAAAGAGTCTTGTTCATAACTGCTCAGGCTATGTTTAGTCCCAGTGACTGCCAGCTGTTTGCAAACAAGGAATGTGAGACATTTGAAAACCTACACAGACTTTAGTCAGATTCAAAGACAGAGCCTTCTCTTTTGGCTCTCAGCGAAGGCGGTCGCACTTTTCTCCTCTCCTGCCCTTATCTTCCCTGCTTACGGTAGCTTCTTATGTCCTTGTCTTGTCTTGTGTTTTTACTTACTTTTCCCTGGACATTCTCTCACAGTCTGTTCTCTAAAACCTAAAAGAGGAATTATGGATTTGATCAACTGGTCTCTGAATGCAATTGACACCCCTTTCTCAATGAGAAGTCTAGGCTCGGGTGAGCCTGATTGCTGAAGATATCTACCTATTCGGAACCATAATAACAGGGTTCTGGCTGATCGGAGCTGGCTTGGCCCTGGCTTATCGAAGAATTAAGGAAGCGGAACCGGCTGTTCAAACCCCCACAAGGCTGCCCGCTGGGATTGGAACGATGGGACGAGGCGTGAGTTTTCAAAATGGGCTCATTGAGTGCAGCACGGATAAGATCTTGGAGAGGCTACGGCTGCTGTGAATACTCAGAACAAGACCTCTGAGTGAAAAACTGGATTACATCTGGAGGGGCTAGCTCGAACAACACCTTTGAGCGCAAATTGATCACATCTTGGGAAGTGCACTGCGGTCGTGAGTTCTCAGAACCTGCTCTTTGAGCAAAAAGAACGACAACATCACGGAACGTAAGTTTGGATAACACCATAGAAAGCTCGTGGCTCTCCAACGGGAGATTGAGAGACCAGTGTTGGACTGTTAGAAC